TCTTTCTGCTAGAAATTCTTCAATTTTACGTGTTTATATATTTATATTTTCAGCTGTCAAAATTATGTTTGTCTTAGTTAACAAAACCGTTTTCACTATGGTTTGTCAATCGTTTGACCCGAAAATTTTAAGACGATTTATATTTAAAAAAATTAGCTGTCAAAAACTATCGGTTCCGATTGACAGCTGAAGTTGTTTTGATGTAATGAAAATGCATTTGACTTCAAATTGACAGTTATCAGAGTTGGTGTCAACTTTTAATGTCAAAAATATGACCTTCTGAAAACTAAGTATTAGAGCTGCTGGCGATGCAAGTTATTTTTAGTGATGAAATAATATTCATAATATTAATATATTTCGAGCTCATTTTAGCAAAAAGTGAAATCCGAAATTTAGGTGTACAACGCAGGATTTTGCGGTTTAAAAAGGAGGTGGAAATGTAATGCTATGGGGCCGTATATGTGCAAATGGTGTTGGTAAAATGCAGTTCAATAATATGAACCACCGACAATATTTTAAATATTGAGACATAATTTGAAAACTAGCGCGAATTAATTCGGGAATTTAGGTCCTTACATATTTAATCTAACAAGCTCACAATAATAATACAAAGCTTTGAATTTTGTACAACACCCGCAAAGAATTAGGAACGCCCTCTCAGCCGACAGATCTTAATCCGATGAAGCACTTGTGGGCAGATTTGGAACGTGTTATCCGAAAACACCAAATAACCTACCTTAAGAAGCCATTCTCAAAGAATGGACAGAAATGCCCGTAGAGCGAGCAAAAAATTAGTAGTTTCATTAATAAATTAAGAGAGATAATCAAGATGATTGGCGGCCGCGGTAGCCGAGAGAATAGCATTACGTAGTGCCCTTTTGAATGTCCGGGTTCAAATCCTGGTATGAAGTTATAGAAAATAAATTTAAATAAAAATTAAGTTAAATTTTCTAATTACGGTCGCCCTTCTGCAGGGATTGTCAACCCCTCAGAGTGTATTTCTGACATGAAAAACCAAAGCTCCCCATAAAAAACCATCAGCCGATCAGCTTAGTGAAAACTTTGTTGGTAAAACATCAAGACGCAAGAAAATCGCTTCAGAGGTAAAAAAAAGTGCCAATTTTATATACAGCCTTAGGCACCCTACTAAAGTACAAGTATTATCAAATGGGGCTACCAAAGTTACCACTTCTTTCTGTAAATGTCTTAAATGAGTGTTTAACTGTTGATGAAATGAATAAATTGTGTAATATTAAAAATTGTCATTTTTAAAAAATTCATAAAAAATTTTCGCATTTTAAATTTGAAAGTGAAAGTTAAATTACATATAGTGAAAAGTTACCAATCTTATAAAAACAGTTCGCGTTTACCGAAATGTCTAAAAAGTGAAATTAGCAACGATGATAAAGCTAGAATTCAAGTTTAATGCGAAGAAGGTAAGTCTCAGGGTGAGGTTGCCAATTGGGTGGGATTTTCGCGGTGCGCGGTCCAGCGTGCTATCAGGCGATTGGTGAAGACGAAATCCTACAATAATAAATCAAAAAGTGAAATAAAATGTCTAACCAGTAAACGATAAGACCGAATACTGAGACGCGAGTCTTTCGAGGATCGCAAAAAATCCTCTGCCCTTTCGGATGAGTTTAGTAAGCCAGTAAGTGTACAAACAGCTGGAAAAAGACTTATGGAAATAGGTTTAAAAGTATGTAAAGCTCGAAAGAAGCCGTGGCTCTCCGAAAAAAATAGAAAAAATCGATTGGAATGAGCTCGCCGATATCAACAATTCACGGAAGAAGATTGGTCCAATGTTCTGTGGTCTGACGAATCAAACTTCGGGGTAAGCTTTGTTAAGATCGTCTTAAAGAATTAGGAGCCACGGCTTCTTACCCTAGAGCAATTTTGAAGACATTATACAAATCCTATCAAAACGCTATTTTTTCTATTCTACAGATATTTTGGAACACTTCGAGCTGCATGGCTGCTGATGGTGGCGGCGAAAAGTTCGTTTGCGAGGGTCGCTTGTACAGTCAAAAGTGCATAAATGTATCTTCTGCCTTTGTTAACACGAGATAGAAACATTGTTTCGTTAGATTGGGCTGCACAGACTCCAGATCTTAATCCCATTGAGCACATGTGGGCTTTTTTAAAACGCACGATTAAGGAACACAGTATAACATCTAAAACTGACTTAAAGAATGCCTTAATTAACGAGTGATACGCTATAAGTGCGGCCGAATGTACAAAGCTTGTACGCAGCATGCCTAAGAGAATTGCTACCGTTATTAAATCGAAGTGTGGACCTACTAAATAAAATAAATAATGTATATAATAAATGTTATTATCACTAATTCATTGTATTTTCACTGCTTTACTAATAAAGCTTCATTAATTTACATGTTATAACAAAAAATTCAGTAATTGGTAGGGTGCCTAATATTTTTGGTCAAGGCTGTATATATAATCAAGATGAATAAACTTAATTTTAGTTTATATATGTATTATTTCACGAATAGTTTTCACTATCGAATTCACTAAATGTTTCAGTTGAATTGTTTTTACCTAAGTAAATTCATAGCTTAGTTTTTGAATTTAAATAAAAGTTAAACATACAATAGAATAACTAAAAAGCACATTTTAATGATCAGATTTTAAAAGAATTTCAGACATTACCTTTCTTGAAATTATTTTTCCAAATATTTTCCTGAGGTACGGTAAATGGTTTTGGGTTTATATCAACTATAAATGACTCCTGACTGCGACACGGGCAGCTAGTCATAAAAGATTCGAGTTCGGATATTCCCCCTGTGCCACTTTTTCTTTTAAAGTCTGTTGGGTATTTTCAAAATTTCCGTGATTTGATGCATATTTTTTCCTTCGGAATAGTATTTTACCACGAGTTCCTTTAAATACTAAAAAGTTTGCTTATCCATCTTAAAGCAGAGTTTGCAATAAAAATGGACAAAATCTTACAAAATTAAATAAATTTTGCTATCCCGTTATAAAAATATATTGAAATATTCACAGTCTACTTTAAATTGAAAAAATTCTGGTGTCCCATTTTTTCTTTCACTTTCATAAAGTAACAAAAATTGTTCTAAAAAAAACATATATAGCAGAGATATTAAAAGAATTAATTAGCATGGTAAATAGACAATTGTCAACGCAATTAATTTTTATATTTTAACTCGTGTAGAATTAGTTTTTTAGTTTTCAAAAATTCGTCTCAGTTTATTTTTGACTCACTGTACATGTGTTAGTAGATGTAAGAGTACGGCATAACCTTTCTTAAGCGCTTAGTTTGTACGCTCTACGCATACGTGTACATGCTGAATAGGCTTAGCGATTATTTTGCTTTAAAATATAATTGATTTCGTTATAATATTAACTGCTTTCTCGTTTTTTTTATTGTTGATTAGTTATTTTAAATACGTGTCTCAGTTTGCAGTTGTTTTTGTTCTTGTTGTTGATGTATTTGATGTGCAGCATCGAAGAATGCATTCGACATGCTTTGGGACACCGAAGGGCCATTAATTGTCGCAACATCTTCAGTCACTTGTAATGCAATAACGGAACACTGCTGTAGTTGCTGCTGCGGCGGTTCTTCGTCGATGTAGGTGATATCAGATGGTGGGACAGCCAAAATCGCCGTCCGGCTGCAGCTGTCATCACCGCCAGAATGATTATTATTTTTCAATTGATGACTCTGCTGCTGAAGGTCGCTGTTACGCTGTTGCTGTGCAAAGTTAGGGTTAAGCAGGTTAGAATTATGTAACGGGTAACCAGGTATCGTGGTGCGTGGGCTTCGCAAGCTATGCATCGAACGGCGTTCGTTCAAGTCTTCCAAAGTTGAACGGAATGCACGTATAACGCGCAACTGAAACAAATAAAATTAGACAACAAACAAACAAATAATCAAACGAACGCACAAATATCCAAAACAGAAAAATATTAAAAACAGAAACAAAACGTAAAAAGAAAAATGAAACGAAAAGTAGTAAAAATATTTATTAAAGCGAATTTATTACTCAAAAAAGCGAAATGCATCAGCGATAAAACGTAAATAAGTAATTTAGTTAATAAATGAACAATAAAAATGAGACTCAGCAAATATTTATATTTGTAGTATGGTAGTATGTATGTATGCAATTATGAAATTAAAAATTATGTAAATTTATAGATACATACGTGTATATATGCATATATGCATAACAAACAATATTTTGCCCCACAGTACAAATAATAAGGCCTAATAAGGAAGGGAACAAGTTATTTAGCTGGATTCTTAAAAAGCAAAGGCAAACAAAAACTATTTCAAGAAAAAAAAGTAAACAAAGAGCTCTTGGGAAGTATTTGCTGTTGCAGAAAATGCCGAAACGAGACATAGATATGTTTTAATTTTAGTCGCATTATGTCTTTTGAACAAGAAAGCACTATTTAAGCTCGCAGTATTATTAATAGTTTCTTTTCTACAAGTAATCTTTAACATAATTTTGTATAATATGGAAATAACAACTTTATAATTTAAAAAATATGGGAAATTCCCTTAGTATAAAATATAAATGATAAGTTCCAATCGTCGGGCATACTTTCCTCCACCCATATTTTGCAATGAAAATGAATCATGCACTTTGTCAGCTCTTCACATTTATATTTAAATAGCTCAGCCGATAAGCCATCGGATCCAGCCGTTTTGCTGTTGCTTAAGCAAGCAATCTTTATTTGAACTTCGTCATAATCATATGACATCGATCATCATCGATATGACATCGATCAACAGATTTCTATTGTACATTGACTCTAACATAAGTATGCTTTGGTCTTGAAAACTTACCCGTTGGGTATCCTACTAAATATTGATTAACATATAATTTTAGTTTTGTTACTGCATCACTTTCGCTGTGAGGTACAATTTAATAGTGAAGTTTGTTTTTGTTGTAAATTACATACAATAAACATAAAATATAAGAATTTTAAAGCTTCAATGAAATGTGTATATCTGCCGCTATAAACTGGCATTAATTTTTTTTGGAAAATTTATATAATTTTTAAATATAATTTATTATACTATTTCTTAGATAGCTGCATCACTTGGCTGTGAGCCATTGTAGTTAAATAAGCTGCCTATCTCACCTGTACTCCAACTTGCAGCAACACTGCGGTTTTTGGCGGAAGGTTCCTATAAACTGTCTGTGGGCAATGATTCAAATATTTCCTTAGCACGACCTTCAATCTCGGTGGTTATAAAAAAAGTGTTAAGGCTTTTGGACGGCTAATTTGCCCACGTAGGATAAAGTTAGAATGAAAAGCAGATTGCTCGTGATCAGTTTTTCAACAAGTACGGTTTCCAAGCATTACTGGTTGTAAAACTCATTGTTCATGATTAACATCTTTATTAAATTTTCGCTGACAAAGAAGTTAGCCTACAATTCTGTCAACGGTTCTGACACTTAAACCGATAAATCAGTTTCTGTAACACAAAATCCATACAAAATCTGTTTGGAAAATCAAACCAATATGAAATTCAGTAATCAGAATGTGTACTCCTTTGCAGAATTTTTTCGGTTTCAATTTTGATTCCGTAATACCCATGAAAGTCTACAGTTCCTCAATTTATAATATATTTGTGTGTAAATTTGTATTTTTTATTTCAATACATGACTAATAGCTGTCCAAAGCACTATAATGTTATTCCCTTTCTTTCCGTCAAAAAAAAGTGTTAGCATTTATAGTTGTGCGGCTCCTTTCTATATTATTAAGGCAATAGCCTATTGCTGTAGGGTTAAAAAAAATAATAGATTATTTTAAGTATTTACAAAAGAAAAAAATTAATCGCACTTTCCTTTGAATATATACTCGGACTCATCTTAGACTAATCGTTTTTTTTTTGCATCTTTATGTTCATATGTGTTTGATCAATGTTCTCAAAATCCATAAAGCTTAGAGTGACAAGTAAAGTTAAATTTCGAAATTTCTCTTACACTTATAACTCTTCAACCTACATTTTACATACTTGCTATTATTAAAAACAATACAAAATTACAAAATATGTATCAATACACATTTATGTGTGCATATAAATATTGCTATTAATAACTCAAAAAAAAAGTAGATTTTTAAGGTAAGCGGTTTAAAGTTTTCAATTGCTTCTTATTTAGCAAATATAGGAAAAGACTATAACTTTATTGTAAAACATTATATAAAATGCTGAGCATAAGTGGACTAAATAGAGTGTACGGAAGCTTTTTCTCGGGCATATCAAATATCAACACCATATCAGTGTGACGCAGGATTCTATTTTCGCCCACGCGCACGTAGCGCACGTGTACCTAGGTTCCACGATTTTCATACAATTTTCAATAAATTGCGTTTGTTCTTAATGTCACCAAGCGCCCAGTATGAGGAAAATATTTATTTTATGTTGTGCTCGTTAAAGTATTTTGAACATTCATATTGGCAGTTGTTATATATTGAATATGAATATTTTCAAAATTACATATTGCTTTCCACTGTTTCTTGGTAATGTTTGTTTTTCATTTTCCTGGTTGTTAACTTGATTTTTTTTCTTTCTTCGCTTGGCTAAGCAGTTGATGTGGATCCGGAGAATCTTCTTCGGAAAATTAATTACAGAGACGGCTGATTTCTCCGTCCTTCGTCACTGCTGACGATAGTAGTAGAACTAGTATCATTCGGTGAACCGGGGGCTATGGAATCGTGACAGTCTTCCGATAATGACGATGAACGTGTTGATACAGATGCGGAATTATTTTTACATATGTCATTTTCAGATAACTCAAAAAATTCCAATTGATAATATTATCAACAACTACGTATAATATTTACCATACCAAATACTTTATTCGGCGATTATAATTTTATCAATAGTACCGTCTTAAAAAAAAAACTTCGGAAACAACGACACATTTGTTGTGGTTAAAAAATAACGCGACATAACAAGTGGAATAACGTCACATTCTTATCTCGATTATTTATTTTTCTACGCAACACAATCCAATTTTTACACATTATAAGCATTGAAATTGCGAATGTATAAGAATGCTTGAAAATGTAATAGTTTAAAACTTTTGTAAGATTCAAGTAGATTTAAACAATTCGGCAAGCCCGCATAGCTAAAAAAAAACTTTAGCGTAACAAACAAATCAAGGTGCTACAAGTGCAATTAAAACATAAAGTGAACGCAGCGCTAACAGTGTGCAACCAAAAAATGTGATACCTTAATGTCCAGCAGTTTACTAGATTTTTTTTGTTTGTACATACTTCTTTATTTTTTCCATGCACATAGAAAAAATAATTTCATAAAAACTCAACATTGATATGTTATAAATGCATATTGACAAGCTCGTTTATAATAATAAATATATATTTGTATTATTAATCTGTTTATGACAGAACCTTGTTTTTGTAAAGTATTTTATCGACAGATATACCAAAACATGCGTGTATACGAGAGATGTATTTAATAAATATGTTATTAAGATTTTGGAGCTTAAAAAACATTAGAAATATTAATTTAAAATCAAGGCTAACAATAATAATTGCGGGACTCATTATTAGTATAAATAACACAATATTATTTAAATAGGTTCATTAACATTTCGTTCCTGGAACAAGTAACAACACTAAGCCAACGGAAAGGAAGTACGCTAAAAGAATTTTTAAAGAGACTCATCACTCATCAGTTCTTCAGGACTCTGGCCCTTTATATACGATGGTTAAAAAATGGGTGCGGCTCTCAGTGACTGTGATTTTCAGATGACATGTGAAAAGTGTATTTCGCTTGAAGGAAATAAAACCATAATTTCATTCATAAGTACTTATGCAATGATCCGTTTTTTCGCTTTGCAAAGTTTACCAAGAAATATGAATATGAATACTTCGTAGTCAACCAAATGCTACCACTCTATTCTACGCATACGCACAAAAAAGTTGAAAGTGGGCACGATTTAAGTTATTTATTTAATAATTAGCGCAGTATGCTAAGCAGTGTTAGCAGAGGTCCAGCCTAATGGTCTTTAAAAGGGTGCTAAAAAAAACTAAACAAATTTCGCAAAAAAACGTAAACAGAAGGTTTAAAATCAATGCCGACAATTCAATTAATTTAATTGTCTTTTTCGAAGAACGCAACAAAATGATAATTTCCTACATCCGAAGCAAAGAAAGTTAGCTCGCAATCGCCTATCATAGTTTATAAAGACATAACATTTTTATACATAAATAAAATAAATTACATTCCCAAAAACTTTGTATTTGCATAAACATAATTATAAAAATATATAAATAATTTAAAATATTTCTGTATCACAATATTCTTCGTTGAGTTCTTGATCTATAAACTTTCTTAAAGGCTCCGATGAAAATGAAATTTTTATTAACCTAACATTGTTTCTGAAAATAGTTAAAACAAAATGCCAAAGGTAACTTCAAATTTTTATAACTTAACAGCAGTAATTCTCAAATTTACCTGGAATAAAACTAAGTGGCAACACGAGGCAAATATGGTGATTTCCGAAAGAGCTTCCACCATTTTTCCGTTTTGTATACCAAAATATTATTATTACAATAAATTAAAGTGCAGCAACTAGTAACAAAATCAAATAAAATTATACTGTTGATCTACATGGACACATCCGTCGCTTAAAAGTGGTTTTAAGAAGAAATAGGTAAAACAATTATGATCATCAGTAAAAAGAGTTTACAAAGATGAAATTCTCAGAATCTTTCAGGTCTCAGGCTAATCTGAAGTTAAAAAGCGGTGTGGTGCTAACTATTTAGCAAGGACATGCTGGATGATTTTTTGGTATAATCCGATCTGAAAGTGGCCTGCGTGATTAGCAAATATTTAAATAGGAGGTTACATTATATAGGCGACGCTGCAAATATTTTGTCATACAAAAAAAATTTTAAACAAATAACAAATAAATCATAGACGAAAACATTGTTTTAAGTGTGTATACCATTTTATCAAATCTAGTTGTTTTTAATACTAAATTGTTGCAATTATGTAAAAAGATCTAAGTAGACTTCTGGCTGGCAATATTGTTCTTAGTTACCCGAATTCTCGAGTGATGGCAGAATAGCAACAGCTAAACATTGACATAGCGATTTTAGTTACACTTACTCATTTTGAGTGGCAAAATAACAATAACAAATGCGCTCAAACATGCGTATTATTTCGTAACTCTTACAGTAAAAAGCTTTTTAAGTGCGTATACGTGTGTGGTTTCTTCCTTTTTATTGCTAGCACTATGGAGAGAACCGAAAATCAATGTAGATGATTTCTCCTGTTTTTGATGAATATTACCGATATAAATGAAAGAAAATTAACCCAATATACCTGGGCCTTAGCCCCTACCTAAAACTTCGTCAGAGCACTCAACCGTGCTCTTTAATATTTGATCAAGGTGTTTCCTAAACTGCCGTAAGCCAAAATAAAAAAATGATATTTGTAAAGCCTGATATTTGAAAATGGCTTACGAGAACTATACAAAATGTTTAAAGCACTTTCTTAGTAACCACAAATCCCTGAGTTTTAAGCAAATTATTGGGAATACGAACAGGTATCTTCATCATTACCCTGCAGGGAAAAGCTAACTTGTATAAAAAAATTCTAATTATATACTAGTATTTCGAAGATGAAATCATTTCAGTGTGTGATTTATATAGCGTTGCACCAGTAATGGTGAAATAATATTTATCATCACCGTTTGATGTAATATCGACATGCCGCGACTGAATTCCATTTTTGTTCTGCTCTGTTGAAGTGCCCAAGATTACGTTAACCGCTACAACGTCACTATAGCCGACTCCTGGTTCGAGCCCCAAATAAGTTTTAAATTGATTTTTTATATTCGGTTGAACTGTGCCGATTTCGTTTCTTTCTACGTTATTACGATAGCTTAGTGGTTAGAGGCTATCACTGTGGTGCGTGAGGTTGGCGGTTCGATTCTCGCTTCAGCAAGCACACTTTTGTTGTTATTTTATTTTGTTTGTTTGGTGAAGTAGTATGACAAATGTCAGCTCGTAGGACATCGTCGTGTTAAAAATACCAGCTTCTTACATGGAAAATAGATAGAAGATGAACTAGTTAGTGCAAAACTGCATACCAGTTGGATTCTAGTCAACTAATATTTTACCTGCAGGGGAGCGACTACTGTTGGACTCTAATACGTAAAACAGATCCCAAGCAATGCAAAGGACTCAGTTCCTCTCTTCATTTCTCATTCGTCAACATTAATGTAGTAAAACGAAAAATTATAAAATATAGTAGAAAATTAAATTATGACTAATATTAAGAATCGGAGAATTCGAATTTAGCTTCATAAATTATCATGGACACCTTTGGTTGCCTAGGTTTGAACCGTGTATACTTATGTAATACAAACATGCCGTGTATACTTAGGTAATACAAACATGATGGAAAACAATGGAAGCGGATTTCTTATCCCTTCTGAAACTAGTAACTAGGTTAGTCCTGATTAAATATTCATGGTTATATTATATGTTTGCAAAACTTTAACTACGCATATTTTAAACGATAACTGTGGTGAAAATGCAACTACGAATTTCAGAAGGAGAGAAATCGAAACATGTTCTTGGAAATATTGAGCACAAGCAATCGGTGAGGCATAAATATTAAACAGAAAAGGTGAAGAGGTTGTGTTTTTATTGATTTGTATAGTTAGTTAACTGTGTGTTTAAAGGAGAGATAGAAAACTGAATGTTTACAATAAAGAAGCTGAGCAACAAGTTTTTTATTTTTAACAATCCAGTGATCGAAGTCGATTGGCTGAATGGCACGGTTTATCGAAAACAGGTCATTGACAGATCCCTGAACCAGAAGATGGTTATCCACTTGGAGTGACGATCAGACTTAGGTGGAGGGCAGTGTGACGAATATGTGATTACGAATCATGAAGAATAGAGACCGAAAACATGGAAGCGTGTATTAAATGTTAGTTTTCGAGAACAGTAGCAAGTGGAGTAAACTGTGTGTTTACTGGAGAATAAATTACGTGCTAACGCTGAACGAAAACCTTTCGATCCTATATTTAACAATCAAATGATTGGACTAAAAGTATTTGGGAAATTATCGAGTTTAGATTGCCAAAATAATGAAGTTAAAAAAATAGTTTGAGATATATTGCTAAAGCCAATATTACCAATGCCAAATAGACTTTTAGTTAAAATAATATTATATAGAAATGATATGCGTTACTCACACTAAAACAAAGAAAAAACGTACGAGGGTATTAACAAATGCTCAGTTAGTTGATCAGATAAAACCTTTTGTATTTATTCGTAATCTTTGTACTTTTTTATTTTCTCTACATTGATTTAAATGCATTTCTTAAGCCTTTACATCCACTTATCAAGTTCAATCGCGATAATAATCTCCTCTTTGCTATTAAAGACATTATTTTTAAATTTTTGGAAATAACCTGAAATCACAAGGTACTATACCCGTGAAAAATGGCGCTGGACGTATTTATTTGATCCCAGAGTCACAATATAATTACTCGTTATCTCAGCTTTGTGAGATCGCGCGCTGTCATGATGTAAAATGTAGCAAATCTCCTTTCTTCTTTTTTTCCAACAAATTTTTGAAAACTTTTGGTAACCACCCTTCGGTGTAGAATTTTGAAGTTACCGTTGGGCCTTTTTTCCGTAGAATAGCAGCTAAGATCTTAGATCAGATGAAATATGCTCCTGTTGGGCTTCATATCATGTACTGTTGATTGGATTCTGGATCGTACTTATAGAAACAAAATTCATCACCAATAACGACTTTACTAAAGTTGCTAGGCTGACCATTTTCGAATATGTTTAGGAAAATGGAAGGAAAAGCACTCGAGTCTCTTTTTATGCCTCTTTTAAACTTCGTGGTACCCTTCGAGCAGATTTCTTCGTGTATTTCAGATTATTATTTATTATTACGTCGTCTACGGAAAATTGTATGGTCTGGGATCTTCAGAACCACTTAGAAACAATCATTAAAGACGGTGCAATCGTTCCATATGCAATTTGGCGTTCACGGAATATTTGTATTTTCTAGAATTTCTGTTGGCGTTCGTGGTGGAATTTCATCCGACCTATCCTTAGTTATCTTGCGTTTTCTCGTCTCGATTTTAGCCCATCGTGGTAAAACTTGAAAGGAACAGTAATAAAGTAATTGTAAAGGATTTGGTATTTCCAACTGACCGAACTTTTTTTAATCCCCTATTACTGTTAATAGTAATGGAATATTATTTGTAAAAAAATAACAAAAGTATAAATATTAATATGTATCAATCAATAAAAGAAAGGAAATCAAATACCAAAAAAAACGAACTTTTCCCATTACTACCGAAAGAAAGTCCTAAGTATTTAGCCGTTAGTTCATTGGAAACCAACAAAACCATGAACAATTTTTTTCGCTTCGCTGTTCACAAGGCATTAAAATTAATTAGTTCAGGAATTATAAAAATAAGTAAACTTAGAGATGGAAACCTATTACTACTTGTCAAGAATAACATAATCGGATGCAAATCTCAACTCTTCTAATGGTATTATTTACGCTCATTGCCTGAACGATGTCAGTGTAGAAGAAATAATTGAAAATTTTAAAGGACAGGGCCAAATTTCCAAAATATGTACATAAATTGACAACCAACTTCAAGGGGAATTTTCCTCCTAATTTTTGATTGTAGTATCACCGTGAAAAAAATTGAGGTTTCTTGGTATACAATCAAAGTGAACACAAATCATATGAGATGCAAGATTTGTCAAGTTCTTGGGTAGACAATCACCATACAAATCGACAATGAATCCTCTTTTCACGAAGCGACCAATATTCATAACGCAAAAATGCCACCCACATTCAACGTCTCAGCCCCGTCTTTCTCCAATGTACTCAACAACACTACAGTCAATGTTAACAATATTAACGAGCAAGTGGCAGAATCTTGAGCCCCATCCTCTCAACTCACTATCCATGAGTATTAGCAAACACAATATACTCTACGCTCTCTTTGCCAACAACAATCGCTATGAACCTTTAACTCTCGACTATACAACAACAATTCTATTTATCTTCATTTCTCACCTCAAAAGTTCATCTCTCATCTCCCCATCAACTGATACTCTCATTGAATATGTCATGAAAATTCTGCAATGGCATTTGAAAGGTCAATTCAACACTACTTTAACTTTTTAATCAATCAGTATTCACCACACAAAATTGCTTAGCAAGAAACTCACCTTCCAGTAAACAAAATAATACATAGGATATTGACATAACCTTCCCCAAAATAAATCAGCGAAGCAAGACACTGCAATTTTCATCAACAAAACAATCAACCCCAAGCGAGTTCTCATTTCGTGAAATATTTCCGATGTAGCAGTCGAACTTGACATTGGTTTTAAACTCTCTGTAGTCTTATGCTATTTTCCACCTCTAGAAAGTTTCAGCTCTAAAGACACCATTGATATAACAAATGCACTTTCAACACCATTTATAGATTTCAGTGATTAGGCTCTTCAACCGAATGCGTAATAGGCAAAAAACTTTGTTGCGTTTAGCGATGGTGCCCCACTCACTTCTCTTCACATCATTCCTTTACCAGCATAAATACTGTCATTAGTGCCGCATTCATTGCTCCAAAGTTTACATCGTTCACACTAGATGACTTTTACAATAGTGACCACTTTACAATTGAAAAAAAACTTAGCATCTCCCCCTCTGTATACCGTTAAACCGAGATAAAAGTTTTTAATAGATAAAGACAACTGGCCTAATTACTGCGCGTTTATATGTAACCTATCTAACTCTAACGAAATTTAAAATAAATTAAACGCGAAAGCAACTAAATTAAAAATAATCATACGCTTCCCTGCTCATATTTCCACACCTCTGACTAATACAACAAAATTCAATCCTAAACTTCTGTATTGGTCAAAGTTCCTAGAGTTAAGGAGTACAAAAAATCACTCTGGGTGTCATTTAAACGAAACGGGTATATAGTGAACTTAATTAAGTTCAAAAAAGTAAATGCAGTATTCAGAAGGGAGCTTTAATCTGCTACATACCAAGCTTTTCGCAAACATAAATCCCACTTCCCCCGCAATAGAAGAGATTTCGTTTACTCGTCGCAAGGTACGATTTATGATCCCCAAGAAATTGCAAAAAGTTTTGCGTCAACCTGGTTAAATATTTCTCACAACCCGAATTCATGCTAACTTCAGTACAGTCTCAAGCCAAATAATCTCCGCAAATTCAAAACCCTACACCATATCTCCAAGCTTTTTTTTTTGTTGAATCTCCGATAACAATAGAAGAGTTCGACACACGGTTCGCAATATGAGTGGAAAAAAGCCATAATCATCCCTATCCCAAAGCCAAATAAAACAAAAAAGCGCCTCTCTCAGATTTCAGACCCGTTTTATTAATAAGTCAAAAATTCTGGGAAAAATAGTTTCTAGAAGAATCATGTGATATACCAAAAGAAACGGACTCATAAACCCAAATCAGTTCACTTTTCAAACCGGCCTCGGTGGTATCGATCCACTTCTGTACTTTGAACATCATGCATCAACAGCCATGCCTTCCAAAAATCACTTATCGGTTCTAAGTCTATACTTTGAGAAAGCCTTTGACAGAATTGGTGGCCATTTAGTACTGCAGGAGTGAAGAAGATGGAATGGAAAGTTGAAAGTAAAATGCATAGTCTCATCAAGCCTTTTCTATCTAATACAATAGATACTTTTGAGTTTAGTTTAAAAACCCAACGTCTAATACGTACGAAATTTATAATGACATCCCACAAGTTCTCCACTTTCGACAACACTATTCATTTTTAATTTTAATGAACTTAGTTCCTTAATACGAGTATATGCAAATCGAAACATAGACCGGGTAATATACGCTAACGGTATGATCTTTCCACGCTTGCAAGAAACGAAAATGTAAGTTCCCAAACATTTCCTCATCCAATACCTAAATTTCACACACATACTTCTTAAGAATTCTTGGAATTAGACATATTTAATAGACATAGTCTGTAAGTGTAAATTTCATAGGCATACATTATGTTTAATATTGACAGCCGAAAGCCTTGGCCTTGCAAATCAATAATTAAATAAAATATAAACATGTAATACAATTATATAAATGGAACTGTCATTGTACAAGGTACATACATGTTTTTTCTCTAGAAGATATTTCTCATATTTGAACCTCGTTAAATCATATGCATACATAACTCTGTAATTATTACCATTTCGAAATGACAAGGATTCCTATTCAAACAGTGGTGGGAGTCGCTTCGGTGACAAATAATTTATTGCGTTTTTTACAATGCGATTAATTATGTATGCATCTATACACAAATATGTGAAGGTAAATGTTTTCTTACTTTTTTATATTCATTTCAACATAAATGTGATGGAAAATAAAATAAAGCAAAGCTTATTAATTTTAATGCGTATACATGCGAGTACGGTTATCCATTTAATGGTTTCAAGAGTACAGAGCGGTATTGTGTGATCTGTCAAACCAAATGTTTTGTTTTAGATAACAACCGCACAACGCTGAGCTCCTCCTTCAGTTTTTGGTATGTGGCTTAATGTTTTTCCAACAAATGGAGGGATCGGTCCTACAGTTTATGCTAAGTCGCCTCCGAACGCCCAATGTTTTATTTTTATGAAGAGCTTTTATGTCATGATATGAATACACTAAGAGGAGTTGACATTCTCTGCCGAAAGGCAACCGCTATTAGAAAATTTTA